GAGTAGGACTTAAAACTGTTCCCGACGTCATTCTTCACAATACCGGATACGTCTGCCCTGTAGTCGTTGAAGGTACCGTTTCCGCTACGACGAAACGTAAGATATCATTCGATATCGAAAACGATAGTGTTTCGAAAAAAAAAGAAATCGTGTGAAGATGACTCAAGCATTGTTGTATAAAATCGTTCTATGTATATATCTATATATATATTGAATTAAAGTTTTGCAAGATGTGTGAATTCCCGCAACGAACGGGAAAAATGGAAAAGGGAAAAAAAGACCTAAGACCGTGGCAACGACGACTGTTGGATAAATTGGACGGAGAACCGGATCCGACGAGGGTATACTGGTATTACGACGAACAAGACGGTAACACCGGAAAAACGTGGATGGCGAATTTTCTAATGTTAAATCACGGAGCATTTTGCACCGGCAATCGAAAAAGTGCGGATGTAAAATGGGCGTACAAACAAGAACGCATCGTTGTGTTTGATTTCTCAAGAACCGAAGAATCCAGAATAAATTGTGACGTAATCGAAACTATTAAGAATGGGTCTTATTTTTTTTAAAAATTATAAGACCAAGATAATACATTATAAAATACCACACGTCATCGTATTTGCCAGTTTCATACCCGATCCCGAAGTGTTGGGTCCTGACCGGATCCATCTTTTGGAGATAGCGGAATATCATTACCCTTTACATAAGCATGCGCAGAACATGAAGGAAGAGTGACGCAATGTATTGTTACGATTACTGGTATTCCTTTATCGTCTTGGTGTTGATATTCCTGTCGTGTTTCGGCTGCTGTATCTATTGTCATAGAATGCGAGCATCGAGACCGATCGTGACGGCGGTTCATATACCACCATCTTCACCTTCACCACCACCACCACCACCACCACCACGATCTACTTTGCCTCGGTATTCGGACTTGTACGAACTTTGATGACGTCATCGAAAACCGAAGTTTGTTTTTTTATTTCGTTCAACAGCCTAATAGACCGAACGTTGTCGTCATTGGAAGTTGATGACGTCATCGAATTAAAAAAAAAACACCATATATATATATATACACACACACACATATCTAAGAACATTTTAGCTCGACTTTAGCATTCAACGAAAAGATGGAGTGTGCTACACGTAGAAAAGTTATAGCCAGAATGGTGAGGATTTACACGGAGGACAATAATCCGTTGGAGACGCTGCTTGCTGCAAATCAAGGTCGTGTTCTAAAAGCGATCATCTGCGACGCTAAGAAGATTTTCCTGCAGATAACGCATCCGCCTGGAAAAACCGAATACGCCAGGCACTACCCGTGCTTCACGTGGACGAACGTCAACGGCGTGAGGTTGGTTGGCAAGCAAGGGAGGTCGAGGACACGCACAATCTACTGAATCGATTCGGCGTGTCCAACGCTCACGTGGAACTGGTGGAAACCCAAGTCCAGTTGAGTCAGGAAGGAGACAACATCTCGTCCATCGACAGAGACGCGGACAGAATCACGATGATGACGCTGGCCGTGAAAGTTACGAATCCAGAGCAAAGTGCGTTGCTGGAACAGTACACGAACGAGCACGTTTTCTGGCGATTCAGCGAGACGTTGAAGCTGATGATGTGGTTCGGCGGTATAGAAATCGGCTCGTCGACCGTCGAGTACGTACGCTTTCTGTGCTGCTTCGTGCGAGTCAACGGAAGCATGTTTGCGGAGGAAAATCATCTGGTCGCAGGAATGAGGGAATGGTTGGTGAAGGAGGTTGGATTTAAAACGGCTCCAGATGTGACCCTTCAAAGTACAGGATTTGTCCCTCCGGCATTCGTGGACGGTGGCCTTGCAGCCGCACGTAAGAGAGAGTGTGTTACGGAAGACGACGGTGAATCGAAGAGACCGAGAATGTCGTTTGAATGCGACCACACTTACTCCAAATCCGATAACTAAAAAAAAAAAAAAGAAAAACCAAACAAGTATTGTGTACTTTTTATTGTTTTTGAAAATAAAGTTTAATGAAAAAAAAACAAAAAACATATCTTTGATTTGTTTTTGCTTTTTTTTTTTCCTCCAATGTATCATCCGATGAC